GAGAAGTGGCCTATTTGTTGTACGAAAAAACCTCAAGAAACTACATCTCAGCCGGAAAGTAATAAACCGAAAGAAACCCCGTGGGTATCACCTAAGAAGACGGCGCGGCAACCCCTGAACACGGAAAAGATGGAAATTCCCACTGAAAACCGATTTGAAACTTTGAAAGAGACTGCACAGGAGCCTGAAAATGAATTTACGGACGAAAAACCACCCCCTATTGTTTTCAAGCAGGAACTGGTGGATTGGCTTATAGTTGAACGAGACTTACGGGAAATCTGTACTGAAGAAATCGAAGCAAACATGAAGGCGAAACTGATCTATGTAAACACCAAAGTTATGGTGGATTACAAAAGTGCCTTAAAATTTCTGAAGACCAATGAGATCCCATTCCATACGTTTCAAACAGATAACGAAAAACCCCTGAAAGTCATCATGAAAAACTTGCCGACGAAAATTACTGAGGAATCAATATCTTTAACGATCTTGCCCGGAGAAAATTCCCAGTACTTAAAGTCAAGCAATTCTGTCGAAGCAAGAAATTCAATTCGGAGAAGCTGCCGATCTGGCTCATTGAGCTGAAACGCAACGATGCAGGAAATGCAATATTTCAGTTGAACTGTATGTTCAGCTTAAGTGTTAGAATCGAAAAATACAGCCCGAAGAAACGGCCACTACAGTGTTTCAGATGCCAGGAGTGGGGGCACTCCCAGCATTTATGTACAAACGAAATCAGATGTTGTAAGTGCGGCGATGGCCACCGAAGTAATTCCTGCCCGAAAAATCAAGATGGAACGCCAACCTGTCTCTTTTGTCGAAAAAACCATGTCGCAAGTTACCGCGGATGTGAAGTGTACAAAAAGAAATTTGAAAAACACCAATCTTTCCCGAAAAAAGTTATCACGACGCTGACTGAAGATAAGTTCCCGCGCCTCTCTGAAGAATCGGATGAGAAAGCACCACCAGTTAGAGGTACCCTCTACAGCGAAGTCTTAAAAAGGAGACCTACCCAGCGAACACCAAAAAGTGATGAAGACAAAATTCAAATATTTATCGAAAAAATCATGCACTCACTCAAGAGCATCAAAAAATCGAAAACCACTGCGGAAAAACTTTCAATATGCTTTACAGCTGCAGTTTATCTACTGAAGATTGCTGAAGATGAATTCTAAGAACTTTGGATTCCAGTGTCGACTTGAAAATTACGTTCTCAAATTTTTTCTACATCGCATCTATGCCCTTAACGGGATTTTCAAGCAGCATCGCCGTGGTCAGCTCCTGGGAGGGTGACCTCCCACGTGACTGGCTCCGGCGAATCAGCTATTAGTTTCCTGAATTCCGTGCTCTTCGATGATTTGCAGATCTGCTCGTACCAGCTCGGCGCTTTCTACCTGCTTTGGCGGACTTCACAGCTTTTGTTTTCCAAGTTTAAGTACCTTTATGTTGTGTAATTATACTTTTTCCTTTTTCACAGCAATTCTAGGGCCTCATCTTGGTTATTTTCCTGGCAACTATTCGAAATAACTCATCGTTCTACAAGGGGTAGGGCCTCGGCCCAGGTACCCTGGTGTACCATGACACCGCTCCACCGGGATGCTGTATAAAATTCAGTTTCTTCGGCAGTAATGTGACTCAAAGCGCATCCAATTGAAGGAACCATAACGATGGGTCTCGGCGACAAAAGGACGGTGGCTTAACTGCCACTCGCGCCAGTTGTGAAGCATAATCAATATGTAAATAGTGACACAGTTTCTTGGTACTTGAAATCAGAGAAACTGGCGGCTCAAATGCAGCAGACGATACATATATCCGCTGAAATTTTTGGTTGCTATGGGTTACCAGATAGACAGAGTTGAGTTGTAGTAGGCAAGTTGCCACATATCTCTTTATCTAAACTTTTAATTGTTTAAAAACTGTACTTTTTAAAAACACTTATATAAATATGTAAAATAAATAACACCTTTTTAACTAATTTTAGATCATCGTATAACTGATTTTTCCGCCGACACAGATGCATTTCCGAATCCAAGCCTAGTGTAGTTAGGTAGTGACTATTCTTAATATATTTTTTAGTACTTTATGGCAGATTCCGCATTTTATTATTATTTGCATTATTTTCTTATTACGAATATATTCTATATATTATATTACTGAAAGTTTTTTTGTGGGGGCCGGTCACAAAGGTATTTTGCCCCGGGCGCCAGTTATGCTTGACCGATACAAAGCATTCTCAGCTGATGACAGCATATTAAACCCATTTTCACTATAGCAATCAATTATTATAACGCCATTTTCTGTTGGATACGAGACTCGTTATGGAAAGAACATCAATCGCAATTGCTCGACAGTTTAGCTACGTAAGATTACATTCTGGAGATTTAAGAAAACCGAATGCAAATGAATTTATTTCTGAAAAAGCTTGTGAGAATTGAATTCTAATGTTTGCATAATTTCCCAAATATTACTACCTATAATTGCATACCTATAATGCTAAATATATGTATACGCACACACACTAAATATATAAATGCTGCGGGTTGGGAGCAATGCGTGTATCAAGAAGATAACGTTTCGGTGTTATATAAATGCTGCGGTTTGAAAGCAATGCATGTAACAAGAAGATAACGTTCCGGTGTTAAGTAAATATACTTGCAAATCGTTCTTGATTTGATTTTGGTTTACTTATATATAAGCCCATCTAGATATGCTTTTTGCATATGTATATATATATATATATATATATATATATTTATCTTATATTTATATATATATATATGTAAGATAAAAATATATAAATAAAATTATAATTTAAACTAACGGTAAAACTTTGTTCTAAAAATCATAACTTTTCTGGATTGAGCCATTTCTAGATCATTCTATTGCCTGCGCAGCACTGATGACGTAATAATTGGAAACTGAAACTTTAAATCAAAACCTTTCTCTTCGTGTGCTTCCGTCTTGCATAACTACGCACTTCAGCTTCTCTCTCTACCCTGCTAGGATGTAACATCACCGTCTTGCTTGCTTTTGCAATACTATCAAAATTGCAAATGTTCTGTAAAAAAGGGAGACTAGTGCCAAGTGATTGTGGCCACAACTGTCAACTGGAAAATAAAAATGGAATTAAAACCGCCTCGACTGCCAAGTTCTTTAGATATTACCAAGACAATATGTTAGCATACTATGCAATCAGAATTCTTCAATATGGATCTAAGTACGCATCAACAGTGTTCCGGCTTTTATTATATCATATATATGTTTTCTGTATTTTCTATTTCATTTGCCGCGTGCGTAATTTCTTGGTTGAAATGCATAAAAATTATTTCTGAAACTCATCCTTAACCCTTTGACTACTAACGGGACATATATGTCTCACTAGTTTACCGTTCTTTAACCATTTGACTACTAACGGGCCCGTTGGTTAAATTAAATATGTGTTATTTTTCTTCTTTTTTCCTACTGGGAGTTCACTTTCAATTTAAGGTGATTAGCCTATTCAATTTAACCCCGATTAGCGATTCGCATTTCATTCTAGTTCCATGCTCTTCTCTGTTGTAATGAACATGATGAGAAAAAATAAAATTATTTTTAAAAGAGCATAGGGCATACATAAAACATACCTTTCAGCACGTGAAGTACTTAGAAATCCCTCTCTTATAACCAGCGTCTGACTCATGTTATTGCAAATGGCCACATGCCAAGGCCTCTAGTTCCAAGGAAGAGCTCCAAGGTCAAGCTACAGTATTTAAAATATATAAAATTTTATAAATAATTTTGTGTTCTAGACTTTTCCATGTGTGTTTTCAAAAATTAAACATTACATTGAAGTATTAATATTATTATTTAAAACAGGAATATCAGTTTCCTCTTTCATGGTACGAAAAAACATCGTCAGAAGACATGTCTGAACCACAATCAAAAGAAATTGCAAAATTTTTAAAATCTATATTTCATTCGTATAACTTGGTAACTAAATTGACAAGCAGTTTTTAATTGCATTAATTTAGACTTATTTCTTCAGCTTAATTATTTAATTTCAAATGCCTTGCTTTTGACATTTAGCCAACTTGCTTTCTAATACTTCTGGGCTACAGAAATAAACCATTTATGCGAAGCCCGTTTTCAAATGTTTTTTCGCCGTGGGTTGTCAAGAGTCACAAACAGAACAGAGAATTCCTGAGAATGAAGTAAAACAGTTGAACATTAATAGAATCATGTGCAGTTAAATAACAGAATGGTGTTGCAGCCGTAAGATGAGCAGAATATGGAATACTATGTTCCTTGTCCAGAACATATTATTGGATCGTTTTAATAGAATTTAGCTGAGATTTCTTATCAATAATAATTCTTTACATTCTTCTACATTTATAAAGTTTTTTATTGAAAAAAATAAAATTTTATAATTTTTGAAATATGCGTGCTTAGATTTATGCACGGCATAACCAATTGACATTAAAGCATATGTAAAAGTAAAATATATGGTTTTAGATAAATATTTTAAATGAATAATATTATTAAACTTTTACTTTCATTTCACGAAATATTTTATATAATTCCATCATTAATATCTACTACTGAAAATATTAGAGAGGATACCAGTTTTGTTATTGAGTTCCTGTTAGTAATCCTTTCATTTCTTCTCTGATTAGATGGTAGTTAACCCCCCAACCAAAAAAAAAAAGTAAAAATTTAACCGTAACCGAATTCGGCTGGTAAATGGTTAATCTGTAATCTTCGAAACTGTGGTATGGGTAGTATAATTCGTTGGTCTAATACTGTTCCTTCGTTGTCCTTGATCATTTGTTAGATTTCATAACTGGCACCCTCCAAATCTGGCATTGTGCAACCGTTAACATCAAAGGAGATCTCAGTGTCAGTTAAGTTTCCTTTTTCCAGTCTTCGATACGACGCGTGTAATCCCAGCAAGCTGGCATCCGCTGCTATCTCCGTTTCAACAATACCATCCATCCGCCCTCCCGCATCCGACCGAGCACGTGACGTTCGAAAAAGGGCGGCAGATTCCAAATCCCCCCCTTTTCTTCGACGTCCATGCCGGCTGTGGCGGGGGTTCATCCAGCAAACGTCGGTAAAGAAGGCGGTTCGTACGACCGTACGTCGAGAGAAGGGGAACAAAATAACTGAAAGAAAAAAAAATGTAAAATAAAATAATAATAACTGCGGGATCATCCGACAGGTGGCGGAGTTCGGAAAACTTTTACCTTCCCTCAGCCGGCCTGCTTGTTTCTGCTTTCCACTCACTCCAACGAGGTTTATTCCGAAGCAAGTCGTCTCCCCGAGCACTGCAGTTCCATCTCATCTCAACCCCGAAAACCCGTGGAGGTGTGTATTAGCGTGCCTCGGATGGCTTTCTATTGAGGGTGCTTTCGCAATTTTCGGGATTCAAAGGATGCTCTGGTCTCGTTATAGCAGAGTATGAAGAAAGGATATTTTGAAATCGGATTGTTTCTGCTGTTGCTTCACTTCGGTTGGAATCTAAAGGTAAATAAATGCTTTCCTTATCAAATGTAGCAGAATATATAGAATACAGGAAAAATACAGAATTAAATAATATTGAATCCATCTTTTTAATTATGGGACAAAATTTATCAAATTAGAACTTATGACTAAAGTGTCATGACAAAATTTCATTTGCTTGAAACTGATTATTTGTTCTTTAAAGAAAAAAGGTTTTAGTTTGAAATGTTATATGATAGTGTTATTATATATATATCCATATATATATTAAAAGGAGCAAAAATTATGAATATCCTATATAAGGAATCTTAAAATATACCCCACCGTACATCTTAGATTGGATAATCTTAATTTTTACTCCTTTTGAGCATAGTCTTTTAATTCAGCAGTTTAAGTATAGAATTTTTGCATTATTTTTTTTTAATCCCTCAAATACTGTTATAATGTATATTTGTTATTTTTCGTTTGAACGGAAACAAACATTTATTTGAATAACAACTTAAATGTAACTACTACTTAAAACACATTTTTTTGATGCAGATATGCCATTTTATTTATTATTCATTATTAGTAGATTTTTGGAACATTTCTAATTTCTATTAAATTTCTGATTGTGGAAACAACAGAAATAATAAAAAATATGGTTACCTTAAGAATTCAGAATAATTATCAGTTATGTAATATCATTCCAGAGATTATATTTATGAATTTGCTCTACAACATACATTCCTTTATTTACGAGTAACAGTTCTTCGAATTTAAAATATACAGAAAAAAAAGATATATATATATATATATATATAAATTGTAGTAAGCTCGCCTAAAGTTACCAAGAGCTGCTGTGATAAATTATTATATATATATATATAATATTATAAATTTTTCTCTTATGATTATTAAATCTCTCTACAAATTGTGATGGAATAGGAAAGGTAATTAGAAACAGTAATAAAACAACAATAAAAAATAATAAAATAAATAAATAAATAATAAAAAAAAAACAGTAATTGTGCCTGAATTCTTTGGTTAAACGTCTGCTTCGAAATTACAGTGAATCTTGTAGCAAAAATTAGCTCTTTAAGATTGCAAGTTCTATAAGTGACTATAAATTATAGTGCGAGCTGTAATGTTAGACTCACGCAGTAACGATTCTTAAAACAGGTACTCACAAAGCTTAAATTCGACCGCAGCTGTCCGGAGCCAGGTTGCAGCAGTTTTTTAGGAAAACTGGAATTCCACCAGAGCCCGAAATAAAATGACGTCCGTTATTTCACTTTATTAGTTAACTATTTATCATTAATATAACACTTAACTGATCAGTTCCTTATTTTCTTTAATTTTAATTGCTAATTATTCATTATTTTATTTATTTATTTCTGTTTACGTTTCCTGAATATCCATAAGGCCCATGCATTTCTAATTTTAAACATTAAGTACTGGGCATTCCATATTAAACTTCGCCTATAGAAGATCAAAATTTTTTGGAACTGTGGGTGATCGATCTACTTAGAGAGGGTTTAGTGTATTTACATACAAGTATACTGAATAAAGGTTTAAAAAATTAAGTATCTTATTCCTAAATTGAGTAATTTAGGAATCATAATTCTCAGAAATCGAGCATAGGCTCAGGCATTTTGCATCCCTGTGCAATTTCTGCAGGTGGTAAATTGTGCTGCTCGGTATCTCCTTTAATTCTAAAAATTTTGATGCCTCTAAATTCTTCTGCCTAATGTTTGCTCCCAACTCTGAAAATTTTGTCATCCTTAAATTTGATGCTCGATGCTTCACTAAATTCTAAACATTTTGTGGCCCCTAAATTCTACCGCCCGGTTCACCCTCACCGTGATAACTTGACCTACACCCTGGTAGCGGCGTAGGCAAGCTTTCATATGCTTAAAACTGAGCACTAATTTCTGAAATGTTTTCTATGACTTTGATGCAAAAAGCTTTTCTCTAAATTTTGCATTTACAATTGGAAAAATTCGTTTGCGAGAAAGATATTTTTAATTTCAGGATTCTTAAAACTGCTTCCTAGCCATTCAGTAAAATATTTAGAATATTTAAAATTAAAAGCTTTCCCATTGCGAATGAAAAATTCTGTAATATTTAAAGCAAAACTATTTTTAAAAAAGTCTTGTAGATTTTGACTTCTTTATTAGCAGATTTTGTTAGTAGTTCAAAAGAATTCTACATTAGCAATAAAAAAATATCAGAATATAGGTCAGAATATAAAAATATATATGTATAATTTTCAGGGTTCAATTTGTTTAAGGACTAAGACGTTAATTACATTAAGTATTATTTTTATACTTTAAACTGAAGAGTTACTCGGCTATGTTTAAAGATGTTATTTTTTCATTGCAGAACGTATGCTGAAGTTGTTAAATTTATTGCTAAAATATTTCTTTAACTGTAAAATTGATGCAATCAGAAGCGCACGGAAGTCGTGCGCTTCTGATTATTACTTCTTTTACTTATTTTACTTTGTATAAATCGTTTCAAAATTTAATTAAAAGAATTTTTTTCTATATAAACATAATATTTAAGCCGAAAATTGTTTTCTATGTTTCCATTCAGCTGATTACTTTATTAACATTTAAAAAGATTTGGTACCTTATCAAAGGAAATAGCAACCGGGAGATTAGTAGAAAGGAGCTGTGAATCCATGTGGCAAATCCTTTTCATTTATTTTTTGCATTTATCATTCTTTTCATTTATTCATTTAGTTATTTACCAAGTAAAAACTCCGTTAAAAAAAATAGGTTTCTTGTAATATGAGATGCCTTTCGACAATGGCAAGTTTTATCAATATTTTTTATTGTCTATATAGTTAATGAATAACGTCTCCAAATCCACATGTTATTTATTTTAACAACTTTCCTGCATGTAGTTTATTGTCTATATAAAAAAATGATATCTAATGGTAATAATAAATTAGTACAAATCAACAGACGAAATGTAGTCCAATGAATAGCAAAAAAAAAAAAAAAAAAAAAAAGCTGATAATAGATGTCAAAAGCAATACCGGTAACTGTCACAATATTATGTATTTAAAAGAGACCTAAATTCTAAAAAGAATATATTGTAATATTAGCATTACACTTTCTTGATATCTTCAATTCTATCTTCCCTATATCTTTAATCTTGCGAGTTCTTACTCTGGTCCAGACCACAGAAATGCCACAGACTGCTAATTAAATGTTGCTAGAAATACTTTTGTTTGCATCGGCTGCTACAACTTGCAAGTCGTTGCCATCGCCATCATTTTCATCGTTTTCGTCACCATTTAATCAGTTTTCCTATGCACACTGATCTTCAGAACCATCAAGACAACAGATATATCCGAATACTTGAAGCTCTTCACTGTTATTGCTTCATTAAGCAGAGTCCGTGAACACAAATTTCAAGAGCAAATCAATTAGTAAAACGAAAACTTATAAAACTACATCGATGAATCCTTTTTTTTTTTTTTTTTTTTTTTTTTTTTTTTTTTAAATTTAGGACAACGCGTTTTCTGAACTGCTGCGTGAGGTGAAAATTACTTGAATATTTAAAAAATAATTTTAGAAACATGTGGTTAAATCGCTATGGGAAAATACGTGAATAAATACGTATATCTCGAATAAAGTATATTCTTATATGATGTGTATGCATAATGAAAGCCTGCTAATTTTTTATATGGTCAGAAAGTAAAAACGTCTGTAAATAAATTAATAACATTTCTATTGCTATTCAAATAAAACTATGTTATTTAATTATTTTTTTTTTACATATTTAATTTTGTTACCCACGTATTATTGAATAAGTTTTTTGAATTTTGATTTTGAGTTGCTGAACTTCTATAGGAGTTGCATGGAACCCGGAATTCTGCAAAACACAGTTTAAAAAAAAAATTCATTTGAAATGCTTTTCATATGCATAACGTTTAATTTTATTATTAATTTTAACTAATTTTAACTAGTTTTCTAAACAAAATTATGAAAATATTATTTGTTACACTTTCTTAAAAAAAGGTAAATTAGTTAACGTGTGGTGTCCTTTTCCCGCGGACTCGTTGTTTATATTAAAATTTATTCATTATCGTTATTATACCTTTGAAGGCACGGCATTCATTTTACTTTTGAACGAAGTTTACTATATAGCTAGCGAATTACAACATAAGTTGGCGCGTTTTCGGCTTTGACCGCTATTTTGAGTTAACTCTAAAATTAAATATAAAGGATAAAATTATAACGAAAATTTATTAAACCCACTTAAATTTAAAACTAATCAAATACATGTTAAAGGAATCTCGTACTTTATTTACAGATTTTTACAAATAAAGGAGTTAACTATATATAAAACTGACCAGAATTCCGAAGGAATACAGTCTTCAAAACTTTGACTTGAAACTTTTCTTAATTTCGTTATTAAAATTAAAACATTATTTGCTGCGGTAGGTAGTTCTGTAAGTTAACCAGCCATAACTATTAATTCAAATTTAAATGAGAAATTTTAATTTAAATCGGATATATCTGTTGTGTTGATGGTTTGGAAGATCAGTGTGCATAAGGAAGACAGATACGAAGACGATGAAAATTATGGCGATGTCAACGACTTGCAAGCTGTAGCAGACGATACAAACAGTATTTCTAACAATATTTAATTAGCAGTCTGTAGCATTTCGGTGGTCTGGACCAGAGTAAGAGCTCGCAAGATTAAAGATATAGCGAAGGTATTGGAATTGAAGATATCAAGAAAGTGTAATGCTAATATTAATACAATGTATTCTTTTTAGAATTTCTGTTTCTTTTAAATACATAGTATTGTGATAGTTACCGGTTTTGCTTTTGACACCTATTTAAATTTGAATTAATAGTTATGGAAGCATGCGCACGATAACATTAGGGCAATTATTTTAATCTCCGATAACAGTTAAGTTAAACATAATCCTAATTTTCTTCTGTTTCACGTCACACATATGTTCACTGAAACCAAAAGATTATGCCAATTAAATTACTCGCAAGGGAAGTTTAAAAACTGTT